TAAACTACCTGAAATTACAAGCTGAGGTGTTATCTATTCTAGCTTGACCACAAGTCGGTGTATTGTCTCATGAGAGTTGGAGAAAGATGAAAGCAGTAGTTTTCTGTTAGCAGCTATGGAATAGATAAATAAGTGCGTAACTACGTGAACTAGGACAGTCTCGATACTGCACTTGTGCAAATGGAACAGCACTAGGATAAGTAATCTTGACTGCAGCACACATACTGTAAACTGGTGCAGTGGGTTTTCCTGAGAAATCCTTGCACCAGCTTGCACTGTTTTACTTGCATTAGCAGTTGCTTCCTACAGAAGACAATACATTGCTAGCAAGGTATGAAAAGGAAACAGAGGCGTTTAGACAGGACAGGCACCAAGCACAGGCCCTATTTACATGATACCCTGCCGTGTATTCTTTAGGTTTTAACTAGGTTTTTGTGTTCACTTTGTGTGTGTGTGTGTGTGGGGGGGGAACCCCCTTCCATATCTATAAATAAATAAATAAATAAACCAGTAAACTGAAAGATGTACAACAGGAACTACGTATATTTCATTTTTTTGTCTTTGAACAATTATCTGCCAAAGAAACCAAAAATACTTCTGTAAAATTTCCTTAGCTTTAAAGATGTGGCATGGAGGGATGGAAGAAGGGCTGTCAGACTAGGTGCATGGTCCTTTGGTCAGAATGTGGCAGAAAGGGAGAAGAAAAGAGCTTTAGTGCATATTAAAATACTAAAAAAACCACTGATTAAAATTGTCAAAGCTATTTTGACAAAAAACAAAACAAATGGTTTAAAATGTTTGAAATCTGATCTTATATGCTATGAATGCCTTCAGTTAGGCTCCAGCTATTGTTATGTGCCCCATTAATTTTCTAATAATGTCATAATGAGGAAAAAAGTAATTACATTTAATCATTTCTACATTTCACTTTCTCAGTTATGCAATAGTTGACATCAGATGGTGTGCTTGGGTAGCCAAGAGGGCAATAGATTTATTGCTATAAGGATGCCTTTTCTGCTTCACTTAAAAGAGGTTTAGATAGATCTTTTATATAAGATTTCTAAGCACATGCTATTTCTACCCTATGATATATTTCTGGGTTTATATATGGACTTTAAAACATACTATTTCTGAATACCTTTCACTTCATTGCCTTGGTTCAAAACAAGATCTGTTTTAATCATGACAAATTCGGAAAACTGTTTCTTGCTGTTAATGGTGCTAGAGACTAACTTCCATCATCAGAGTCTGGTTCTTTTCCTCTTTCTATATATGCTTCTTCCGAGCTCTGCCTTTTGGTTATGCCACCTGGAAATGCTTATATGTTGGGAGGTATATATAGAGCGAAAATGGAGAACAGTTCATCCTCTTTTCTGATCCTTTTTCCTTGCTGTGCCAGAAGGCACTTAATGGCAGTGAAGTTTCCCTAGTAAAAAATATGATGGAGTGAGTGATTATGTCATCTCAGTGAGCATGTCAGATCCCTCTATTGTCATTCTTGTTGTCTTAAACTGTCTAGATAGGCAAATACACTCCATATGACTATGTATGTTCAGTGCTCATTGCCTTCTTTGTATGTATGCACATTTAAAACGCATGCACATTTAAAATGACTAGAGGTTTCTTTAGTCTGGAAGAAACTTGGGGTTAAGAACTAGCTAATTGTGTAGAATATGGCAGTAATGCAGAGAACTAAATGTCTGATTACAGCTAAGCAAACTCAGACTGATTTATTTCAACACAAAATGGGAAAAATATACTGCTTTGGAATGATTATGAATGCTTGGATTTTTAATAGCTAGCACAGAAATTGAAAAAACTCTTCACTGGTCTTACTGGCCAGAACTGATGGGAGTTGTAGGCCAAAACATTTGAAGGATTACAAGTTGTCTGCCCCTTGGTTTACTATCATTCTGCTTCTTGAGTAGGTTGTATTAGTTGCTATTGTTTTGCTTATTACATTTAAACCAAAGAGTATTAAAATGCAAAGAAAATGGTCCGTATAACTTAATATTCCCTCTGATATCCTAGGATAATACTTCCCATTCTAGAATTCACAAGATGTTTCTGACCACTGGGTATGCTGTCTAGGGGATAAAGTCCATACCATCTGGAGGGGGTCAGGCTGGGGAAAATTACTAGTTTATGTACTTAATTGGGTTTTTTTCCTAATGAACAAACCATGCCATTTCTTCAACCTGCATTTAAAGCAGTACATTGTAGGAACAATTCTACCAGCTTAGTTACTCATTTCCTAAATTTTTAATACTTGGGTCAAAATAGAAATCAGTTGTACTTTATAAAGAGATCATTTCAAACATACATTTTGGAGCCCTTAATATTAATACTTAAAGCTTATTGTTAGCCAGCTGTTCCTTTGCCTCACTCCTACATCCTCAAATTTCAACACAGATATAAGAGCACTGTATGAGCAAATGAGCATTGTACTACGTTGGAGTCTACTAATGTTTGCCTTTCTATGCCTTGCATGATTCATATATAATGGCAATTCATGGGTCATTTAACTCATGAATTGTTTGTGCTGTGCCAGACTATAACAATGGGTTCAAAGTTTTTTATCATCAACAATCCAATGTTTGACTTCTGTCAAACTTGGGGCTCTTTTTATTATTGGCTAGAGAAACAGGACTTCACATAGATTTAAATATGTTTTTTAAGTTATCATAAATGGAAAAAGAAGGGTGTGGGAGCTGACCCAGCGGGCTCGATGTTTTTGATGATGGATGTTGTTTGTAGTTTTCTTTCTGTTTTTTTTAGGATTATAATTTTTCAAGTAAAACTTATTTTAAAAAAAACAATCCAATGTTTGGTGTTCAGATATAGCATCAAAGAGCCCAGGAATAGAACATTTCTAAGTTGCTTATGAAACCAGAGGCAAAGCAGAAATGGCAATTCCAGGAAAAAAAGTGCCCACTTTTTCTAGCACAGTCTCAACTAACTTACGGTTGTTTAAGATATCTGTGAATTGACCCAGTATTGGCATGCATTCACCTATTTTTTCTAGGCCCGACTTAAGGTGCTAACGATGACATATAAATCCCTAAACGGTTTAGGACCTGGTTATTCGAAGTAGCGTCTCCCTCCATGTATCTTCATCTGAGGGCCTTCTTTGTGAGCACTCTTTGAAGGAGATCAGAAGAGTGGCTACCCAGAGAAGGGCCTTTTTTGAGGTAGCACCCCAGCTGTGGAATCTGCTCCCCAGAGAGGTGCACTTGGTGCTAATGCTTTATTCTTTTCAGTGACGGGCCAACCCCTTTTTATTTTCCCTATATTTTATGGTTTAACTTTTTTAATGATTGGTTTTATTGTGTATTTATATTCTATTTATGTCTGCTGCTTATTGTACTGCTGTCCTGAGATTTTATATTGGATGAGATAGAAATGTTTTGCATGAATAAATAAATAAATAAATAACTTTCCTTTTTAATAAAAGAATAGATACATGATTGGAAAGCAGGACATATCTGACTTTTGCTGCTGTTTTCACCTAAACCACCTGTGATATCAAAAAATGTGAAACACAGTCCATCTGAAGCCAATTCAGTCCTTCAGAACTTCTGAAGTCAGAACACCTAATTTTTAATAGCTTCATTACACAGCAGAGAGAATGAGATAGCATTAAGATTTCTGGAATTCTATCAATGGTGGGTGTAGCAATGTATACTTGATGGATTCTGTAGAAAGATAAATAGGACTTGACATTAAATGAAACATTTTAAAAATTTAATCTTTTTGTCTTAAACATCCCACATTCATTCCTGACTATATCCATCCCACAGACTACCAAATTAGTTCAACCAATTTATTGTCCCTTTTCCCTGCTTTACCTAATTAGTTCTCTTTGTGATTCCTGCAAGGAAACTTTTTCAAGTTAGGAGAGGGGGTGCTTGAAGACCTACCTGTCACTAGCAGAAAGATTACTCTGCTCCACCACCCCTTCAGCTAACTTTACATTTCAATAGATATGTTTGAATAGGTATTTGCAATATGTGTCCTCTAATCCAGCAGTACGCAAACTTTTTCAGTCATGGAACCTTTCTGAAGACTTTTTTTTATTGCAGAACCCTAACTCTATCCATGATTTTTATGAAGCATTGTGAACCTACAATGTTCTTCCTTCTTTCATCTGCTCCTATTGCCTGAGTGCTTTGCATAATGTAGTAGTCTTCAGGATAAAGAGAAAACATTTTAAATATAATGAATGAATAAAGCAATTATATGGTAATATCCCAAATCAATTCATTTGATTATTCCCAACACTATGCAATAGAGTCCTAGGAACCAAATGGCGTGATGCATTTCCTTGCTTGCTGCTTAGACACCAGCTGAAATTTAACAGTTGGCCTTGTGTGGTTTCATTTCAAAATCCAATTTAAATTAGATTTTTGAGATTTTTCATGGAACCCCTACGAGTCTTTTGCAGAACCCTAGGGTTCCACAGAACACAGATTGGGAGCCACTGCTCTAATCTGTAATAATTGAAGTAAGGGAACTTTTTTTAACTATGAAAATGCATGGAAAAGTTGTGCCTTCATAATACAAATCTAGACCAAAATGAATGTATTCCTTTCAGATAGTAACTGTTTAGTGAGTACACACTACACTATAATGTTTACCTCCTAAAAAAGGTGCAAAGGCTTTCAAGTTTGTTGTCCATCTTAGGCTAAAACAAAAGTTCTTTTTAAGGAAAAAAATAACATTCTTAGCTTTGCTGAATTCAATGCCTGCTACAAATTTCTGCTCTTGTGTAGTGTGAGTACAAGATACACACCAGCATCTAACTTCATTTCTTTTCTTTCTCAAATTTGAAATATTTTATAAAAGAATTTAGTAGTACCATAAGCAGTAATTTCTTAGTTTTTTTTACATTTGGGCTGAAATACTGATTTAAAACAGTGACTTGTTTTCAACCTTGCACTAGAGAATAAAATCATTTTTACTCAGTCTTAAAAGTGGGAACATGAGAAGTATTAACCTACCTATAGATTATACATGCACTGTTCCTGCATGTGTCACAGTTAGATGTGTCTTGACCAGTCCGATATGAAAGCCTACAAAGATAAGAACATGTTATGATTAAAGGTATTTTCTTCCTCCTTGCTTTGCTTTCATTTTCGGAGGCAACCAAATAATTTCCGGTTTAGTGTTGATCACAATCTTACACCTGCCCTCTGGAAAAGAAGGACACTTTCAAACTTTAACGTCTAAGGGCAGTGATACTTTTGTATAGAAACCACAATTGAAAGTAAACACTAGTCCTGGAGACTAGAACTAGATTATTCACCTGATAATATGCAGAATACACATAATTTGGGAGGACAGAATCTTTGTCAAGTATTATAATCTACAATATGCAGATTATTCTAGTCCTGAAGCAATCAGAATACCATTTAGTATTACCATTGCTAAATATTCAAAGTGCTTGGTTCAAAGTGCAATAACAGTGCTTGATTATTAGGGAAAGTTTATATATCACTCTTACAACTTGATTTCTGAACACTTTTGCAGCACTTGTGCTTCCACTGTTTATTTGTGGAATGATAACATCTAGGGTCCTAGTCGTTGCTGTAAGGCCATGTATTGTCCACCTCTAATGAGGTAGTAACTAATGGTTATAATTTTGTAACATAGGTGAAACTTTGTGAAAAGTTAAGACTGCAGGCCAACATGCAAATAAATACGCATACTGTCAGGGAGGATATTACACGCATATATATCCAAACAGGGTGCAAGGTGTTATTCCTAATTATGCAAACACTGGCTTCAGATTGCAATATTCTGTATTGCAGTACAGTCGAGTAAGAATTAAATCTAAGGATTTACCTGGGCTGAGTAGTACAATGCTGGCATATTAAGGCATAACCTAGCTGAAGTTTTATTTTCTCCCCTGTTCCTCCTGTGCGTAGGTACTAGAGGAATGGAGGTTAGTGCATGCCTCCCATATGACTATGCATCTTGCTCACTTGCCCTGTTACACATACTTTGGTATGGGAAGGATTCTGATGTTTTGTGTTCCACCAGCAAATGCTAGGAAGAAACAGGTCTTTAAGACCGAGTTACAAGTGGATGTGATTGCATCTATATTTGTTCTCTATCAAATAAAAGGGGTTTCAGCATCATGTCTAATAAGCAGTGGGCATGAAAATTATGGCTGATTATGGTTGCAGTTGCACTGGAGTATGAGACAGAGATGGCAATAACCAGATGTACCCTGGGATTGTGTTTAGATCAGCTGCAAGTTTAATAGCTACATGGCTATTGGTTTTACTGTATCATAGGGCTAGGGACCACATCATGGGATCTGCTAATTGGAGTTGGAAGTTTCATACCCACCACAGCATGGATCAATAACCTAGGTCCCCTAGCAAGCATACTAACCCTTGGCCTGTGCTGGCACCTCAGCCTCCTCCCAAAATTCACTTATGGGGAAGCAGGGTATGCATGTGTTTTGGGGAGGAGGGTGCTACTCCTTCCACTTACCCCAAAATGGAACCCAGAAGGGACATCAACCTATAAAATGAGGGAATTGTAACCATGTAATGCCAGAGATGGAGAAATGCTGAGAAACATTAGGAATATAAAATGTAACAGCCACTGCCAGCAACTGTATTAGGGATGTGGTACAGATTCATCTGAGTCCTGAACAGAGTTGGGTTGATTTTGAGATGTGGGCTGTTTCAAAGCAAATCACATTTATATTGAACATGAAGACTTACAGCATTTTAATTTGGAGATTTTACAGGCACAGACAATATGCCTCCTAAAATGTTTAAAGTTTATAACTCTATATATAAGAAAAACAGCAGGATGGAAGAAGGGAGAAGAATGGATGTAGTTTTGTGACCAGCAAATCTAACTTCTAATCACAATGAATGGTTTTCCAGTCCCGGTTCACTGGGGGAATCAAGTTAAAATATCTTGCAGGACTGATTTGGTGTTTAATGCTCTTTGCTAGTCTCCACTCCCAAAAGCAAAAATAATAAAAGAGCTTGGCAGAATCTGTGGGACCCAGGTAGTGTAACATCAGGTGTCTGCTGGGAAAATGCTGGCTATTCAAGTCCTTCAGCCTCTTCCATTATATGCTTGTATCCATCATCACCCCTGTTTTTATCTCACTTTCTTTGTGTTGTCCATTGAGCAAAGTCTTAAAACATTTTCATTTGTTGTAACTCCTCAGCCCCTTCACATATTCATATGAAACTTGACAGGTTCCTTAACTAAGGCCACTCTATGGTGTACATCATTTTCATAACAATTGTCCATGAAGAACATAGAAAGGCAAGCACCTATATTTTTTGTAACCCCAACAATGCAAACAATATATTTGCACAAAATCCCCTGCACCTTTTATACCTGTATAGCCAGGATCTCTGAGAATAGGTTACTGCCTACAAAATCCAATTCTATAGGCAGCATTTAAAGGTGCCCAACACACAACTCACTGTACCTTGGTAGCGACCCTTATCCCCTCATAAGGGGCCATTATTCTTTATAATTTCATACAGCTTCCTTGAACAGGAAAAATGGATTCATTAATTAATACCTAGTGATATTTCAGAGTATAAAGGCAGATGATTGTCTTGCATGCCACATGTATGTGTCCTTGCTATGATCTAATAATAGAGATGTTCTTGAAGGAAAATATGCTTAATATTCTTGGCTGACAAGATCATGCATTCTATTCTGATATTCTGTTTTATCTCTTTCTTTGTAATTGTGGTGTATACAAGAGATAGCAGCACTTCACATTAAGGTCAATATCCAAAGACTTATGAAACTAATACCATGAGCTAAGGGGAGATTTAGATTAATTTTCTCAAACTGCCACTCCCACCCCTATTTCCTGCACCATTATTAACTTAAAAATCAGTATTAGAAACATAGAAACAGAGTGAGTCAGAAGGGGCCTCCCAGGCCCTCTAGTCTGACCTCTGGCACCAGCCGGCTCCACTCACGACATGCCCACCATGTGGACGTCCAGCCTATCCTTGAACACCCGCACCGATGGGGCCTCAATGACCTCTCGTGGAAGCCCATTCCACACCCTCGGGGTCCTGACTGTCAGGAAGTGCTTCCTGGCATCCAAATTGAACCTTGGCTCCCTGAACTTTGCTCCATTGGAGCGTGTCCTGCCTTCCTCTGCAGGGGAGAACAGGTCTCTACCCATCTCCATGTGACATCCCCTCACATACCTGTATGTCGCCAACATGTCCCCTCTGAGTCTCCTCTTCTCCAGGCTGAAGAGACCCACTTCCCTCAGTCTCTCCTCATACGGCATCCCTCATCCCTCATAGGGCATCCCCTGCAAACTGGCCACCAACCTTGTGGCCCTACGTTCCACTGACTCCAACCTGGCTATATCCTTTCTGTAATGAGGGGCCCAAAACTGAACACGATACTCCAGTTGCGGGCGCACCAGAGTCGTGTAGAGTGGTAGTAATACCTCTCTTGATCTAGAAGCCACACTTCTGGCTATGCAACCAAGGGAGGCGTTCGCCCTCTTGACCACCGCATCACACTGCTGACTCATGTTTAGTCTGCAGTCAACCAGTACCCCGAGGTCCCTTTCACAAGTGCTACTCTCCAGCCACTTGTCACCTAACCTGTACTTATGACAGCTATTCCTATGCCCCAAGTGCAAGACGTTGCACTTATCCACATTGAACGCCATCCTGTTGTCTCCTGCCCACTTCCATAGTCTGTCCAGATCCTTTTGGATCTGGAGTACCTGCTCCTCAGTTGTGGCCACTGCTCCAGTTTTAGTGTTGTCTGCAAATTTGATCAGCAGACTGTTCACCCCTTCTTCCATGTCGTTAATGAAAAGATTAAACAGGATCGGCCCCAGGACAGAGCCCTGGGGGACCCCGCTTGTCACTGGCCGCCATCCCGATGATTCCCCGCTAATGGTTACCTTCTGCTTTCAGTCAGTCAACCATGCCCTAATCCACCGGACAGTGCTTTGGTGTATCCCAAAACTCTTCAGTTTCTCCACCAGGATATCATGGGGCACTTTGTCAAAGGCCTTGCTGAAATCCAGGTATACCACATCCACTGCATCCCCTCCATCTAGCCATCTCGAAACCTTGTCATAGAATTCCACAAGATTTGTCTGGCAGGACCTGTTTTTGAGGAAGCCGTGTTGTGTGGCTGTCAGCCTCCCTTCCCTATCTAGCATCATTAGATCTCTCTCTATTATGAGCCTTTCCATTGTTTTTCCTACATTACATCCCTGCACCCCACTACAGTAATATTTAAATAGGAATGGGGACATAGGAAGCTGTCCTATACTGAGAGACATTTTGTCTATTTAGTCCAGTACTGTCCACACTAACTTGGATCAGGTCTTCAATTTATCAGACAAAATCCCTTTCTGAGCCCTATCCTGAGATGCCAGAGATCATCAAGAAAAGCATGCCCTCTACAAAGGGGCACTGTTACACAAAGTCAGACATCAGACATTTCTGCCTTCATACCATTTGGAATCCTAGCTTCCCACTTCCCAGCAATTAATCAGCTGTCTCCCAACACATTTTCCTTATAGTTCCAGTAAGTTAATGCTTTGAAAGCTGAACATAGGGGAAAAACAGCAAGAGAGTCCTACTTCCCTAATGTCCTACTTGTTCGTTGCTATGTGGAAAAAGGTGCTATATTATTTAGGCCAGGCATGTCCAAAGTCCGGCCCGGGGGCCAATTGCGGCCCGTTTTCAAATTTCGAGCAGCCCGCAGCCTCTTCTCCTTGCCAGCTCAGCCTGTCACTCATCCCCGCTGGCCTGCGTTTTTCCCTTCACCACACAGCGGTTTCCGCAGCTGTCCCCTGCTGCCTCCTGCTCCTTCAAGGCTGGTGGTTATATTTCACCAGAAGATAGCAGTAGACCTGAGTCAGCACTCTCGCCACGTGACCCTTGTGACACAGGGCTTGTGTGCCCATTTCTAAAAGGGCGACTGTATCTAAAAAAAGGAAAGTTGACAGCAAGGGCCACCGCTTCCAGGACAAGTGGAAATTGGAATATTTTTTCACTGAAATACAAAACAACTGTGTCTGCCTAATTTG